CATCCCACCCAGAAAGATATGCAGACAAGCAACCATCACTCCTCTATTGTATAGAAGGCTCCGTGACAATGTGATGAAATCAAACTAGTCTGACCATTGACAAAAGTTCAAAGAAACACAAACAGCCTCTGTTGTTCTTAGATGTGAAGTTGTAGGACTCATGAAGTTAAAAGTCTAGTTGACTAATCAACATGCTTCTTTCATCATAATCATCTAAACTGCCCACCACACCAGAAAGAAAGCTTGCAAGAGTGCTGAGAAAATTTCAGTGATGGGTCACATCAACTTAATTCTGGAATATTTTCAAAATACCAGTATTGTGCTGCTATTTTTCATGGTCAGATTTAGCTTTGCCTACTATAGATTGTCACTGGATGTATTTTATCCAAAGAGAACCTGCTTTCCATATCACAGCAGGTATCAGCAAGGTGTGTGTATTGTCATGGGCTCTCCTCTGAAACATTGTGCTAAGAGTATAATGTAGCTAAATCTGTAATGTACAGCTAGCCTTCAGGTCTGAACCTATGTCAAGAATTTTTCTGCCATGATGGCATGCAAATGCTATACAAAAGTCAAAGAGGCTCCGTAGGCAAAAAGCTCTGCTGTTTCTCTCCCTTTTCTGCAAGTGGAAAGACTGAGAAATCATTCAGCTGTCTGTGTTCTTTCTAGCTGGTTATAGGCTCGAGACATCAGTGCTGCTGAGAAAGGTTGCTCTTTCTGGGCCCTGGGATTTTTCTCCAGGAAAGGATTTCATGGATTAAATTAGCACTCTGAGTTCTGTTGCAAATTAAATGGGAAAGAGATGCAGTTTTCTAAGTACAGGTACATTGGAGCTGGCTGTACTAAGTCAGTCTTTTGATCTTAGGGCAACTCCAACCCCAAGTTAAACAAGTTAGTGGTTTTCAGCATATGAACTCCTAGCCTTTCCAGTGGAGACATGCATCTTAGTTTAGTAACTTCCAGCTTACCAGCAAGATGCTTGCTTTGTTGCTACCTTTTCAAAGTCTCTTAAAAGTATCCCTGTGCCCTTCCCCAGAGGTGTGCAGGACACAGATTGGAAGCTGCTGTGCTGAGCTAACCTGAAGGCAAGTGAAATATAGGTCACAGCAGGAAGGCTTTTATCTGAAAGGAGACAGGACAAGTACTTGGCAAGCTAGAGACAGAGACAGATTTACTGTTGTGGACTACAAGCTCTTGTGACTCCAGTCTGAGCCTGAGGATTTGTAATACTGTCATAGTCAGTTTCCTCTGTCACTACTAGCTTAACTTTTTATAACAAGAGTGGAATTTTTATTTGTTGCCATGTATTTTTTTCACAAAAATACTAAAATCAAAAAAGACCATTTTTCTGATGCCTGCAGAGCCTGTGACAGTAGCTTCAAGAAGACATACCAACTGTATGTCCCAGTTCATTTTCATTTTCATGGCAGACCCTATATATGCAGGGACCTTCGCCTGTGGCAGCTGACTGCAATACAACTGGCAATTGTGCAAAAATTAACCAACCCTACCCCCACAAAAGCCTTTTGTAGATAGTAAAGTAGCTGTTTGAATTTTAAACTTAGTGTTTTTTGGTCCTTGTAAGACCCAACCTCCTGTCTCTTAACCCAAACCTTTTTCCTAACTCAGCCATAAATATTTTTAAGCGTGCTTGCATGAATCCTAACTCTCAACATTAAGGGCTCTCTTGGAAGAAAAAATGATCAGTGTGTCAGTTAAGATTATTTTTTTTAATTGTATAAATGTTAAAGAGAAAAAAAAAAAAAAGAGGAAAGCCCTACCAAAAATGCTCCATAATGTGTGGGCGAAGGCCCATGGATGAAGGAATTGCAGGTTGCCTTATACTGACTTTTGGACACAGGTTTGATCTAGAGAAGGCTTACTGGTGGAAAAAAAAGTAAGCCTTCCTTAGACTTCAATTCACAGTCAATCAAGGCAGATATTAAAAGGCATCTATCTATCTTATCTTTGGATCTTTATTCACAAGGCAGACTAAACCATTACTGTTTACTACAAATATCTATTGGTGCACTTCTCGGTTTGTCATTCACGTCTTTATGAACTAGCTCTTCTCCTCACTGCTTTCTTTAAGATTGAATCCAACCCAGCAATGGGAGGAAAGTTACCTTCTCGTTTGCTAACCTTGCAGTGCTCTGAGCTTATTGAGATAGTACTTACACTGAATGATCTTTAGGGTTTTTGTTCACTTAATGCTAACTCCTGTGCTAGAATTATTTTACTCTATATTATACAAAGACTGCCAAGAACAGATCTCTGGAGCTAAGTGCTTGTTTTAGCATATGGGTTCCTCAGAAGCACCCTTTAGTCCTCAAATTCAGTAGCTGCATCTTTAGATATTTTAGAAAGGCAAGCTACTAAATATGGCCCTCTCTTGAATGCCTGGAGTAAGGATACAGTGTCTGGAATGAAACTGGTAGAAAGTTACATTATTAAAGGAGGTTAAATCAGTGTCATGGGCCAACAAGCTGGAGAGACAAGTAATTCATATTGATTGAACCAGACTTTACCACACATTCATTAAGAATATTACATTAAAAATCCGAGGCATACATTTTGATTTTGCAGCAGATTCTTTGAGGATGTGAGACAGTTGCCTAGCAACTTCTGGATTCATCACCCTTTCATTAAGTGTTGTATTTAACACTTTTCTTCCACTACTTTGAATTTAAAATCTTCCCTGAGTAATCAAGCCAGAAACATATTTAACAATAGTTCTGTATTGTTAGCATAAAAGATGTCCTCTTTTTACTTCCTTTACCTATCAGCAGTAGAGTCTAGAAGAAACATATCTGACTCCCTTGTTATTCCCTTGTACAATGCTGCATGTGAAACTGCAGTGGATGCTTTTGCCCTGAAGAGCTCAGTCTGGAAGAAGCTGGCCTGAGATGAGCTAACAAATATAGGACTTAGCAGTTGTATTTTAAAGGAAATTTAGCAGTAAATTTTAAAGGAAAAAAACTTTGGAGCCAACGCTATTGAAAGCTTTGGCCCTTATCAGTTAAATTGTGAAAATGGTATTTTCAAGACCACAACAATTCATATATTTTAGTGATATATGAAAAAACCAGATTCTGGTGGAACTTACTGGTGGCACTGTTTTGTGACAAACTCCTATTGGCAACTTCTGTAACTCTGAGCCTCCAAATACAGCCCTAGATTTCCTGTCAGTTTGGTGGAAGCAGATGGTTTGAAAAAAATGCTTTTAAAAGTCATTCCTAACCTTGACACTTTCTTATGAAAGCTACTTTGTTATTATTTCCCTTTCTAACTTCTCTTTCATTTCAGTAAGTACAATAAACAAATAATATTTCAGGATACCTTGTCAATTTAGTTCAGAAGTTTTTCAGTGAAATACTGCAAGGGGTGATTGCCATTTCAAGTTGATTAACTGAGATTGATCAATCTATTTCACTCTCCTTCTATCTACAGTCTTTTGACCTCCAGTAAGTGAAGTAAGTGTAAATCCCATGCTCTGCATGTATATGCCAACTGAGTCAGAGTAAGAGGGTGGGGTAACACTGTAGATTAATTACACGGCAAAAAGGGAAGCAAGAAGGGACACATAGATACCATCTGCATAACTTCCTGGGAGGAAACTGCTAGTATGCACTTAGGTAAATGGCTGAGAACAGAGTGATATGGGACTGTGCTATCAGTAGTGCTTGCTGGCTTGGAGAAAGCACTGGCATTTTCCTGAATGGGGCTGTATAGGAAGTGTGCTCTAAGTCCTGGCATAAAAGCAGAATTTACTTCAGCACTCTGTGACTCAATCTGTAGTCCTCCACTAGGCTTCAGAATAACCTTTAAGGCTGTATTTGATCTGTGGGATCAGAAACTGGGAGAGAGGCTGCAGGGCTGTGCTGTGAGCACAGGAGGTAGTGGGGCTAGAGAAGAGGAATGTGTGAATATCATGCACAGCTCATGAGAATTTACAAGTCTAGTGTAATATAGAGAGTGAGGCCTTGCTTAAATTGCATCTTAACCTGGGGTGTATTTAAAACCAAGATGCTTAAACTTGTGCCAATACTTATGTGGGCACTTGTTTCAATTTAATTTGATTAAATATTTAAAGCATAATGAAAAAGGCTGTATTAACATGGGGGAAAAAAGGATCTAAGTTGTTTTTCCTGTGGACAAAACCTTCCTTCTCAAGTTTTCAATTCTCACGTGTAATTTACTTAACAATTAATAATCTTGTCATTTCATATCTGACATGTGGCGAGGAAACAAAAATAGAAGCTCAGAATAGTCAGTGAAAGTTCATGCTAAAATACTTAGCAAACCCTATTGGATTCATACAAATAATATCAGTGAGGTCATATATTCAGCTGGGCACATATCTTCCTCCTAGCCATTATTTGGCTGGGGAAGAAGCAGAATCTAGTATGAAGTCTGCAAAATCAACTGAGTTTTAATAAATTAAGGTTTGCAAAACATCACAACCAAAGAAGCATAAACTCCAAATTAATGAACACAGTCCTTCTGCAATTGACATTCCTATTATGTCACGCTCTCTCTTCACTTACCCCAAAGTATTGTGCACTATTTTCAGCAGCAGATAATAGTCCTGACCTGGCATATCTTACTGTACACTCTGCATATAAACAGTGGCAGGGAGAAGTGGACCATACATGGGAGTCGTTTTCTAAATCTAAGATGAGACAGCGTATGAAAAAGACATTGGAACAAAGGTATGATGAAGGGGTTATGCAAGGATCTATTCAGTTTGGAATGAATTAGATCCTTATTAGCACATTCTCTGTGCTTCCTTTGTAAAGTTAGGCAGGTATGATGCTATAGACCAGATGCCACTTTTGCTTAGTGTAAGCCTATCAGCTGCTTGCCTATCAGCTAGGCAGGCTATGAGCTGTATGCTATATGAGAACAGACCTTGTAGGCTGGACTTTGTCATATCTGAAGTAAGTGAAACTTGTTTCTCACATCTGTCTAATGTGTGTTTTCTTCTACCCTGGGAGCAGTGGAGTGAAGTGCAGCAGATGATAAATGGTACCCCAGTCTATATGTATCAGGACTGCAGCGTGCTCTCTGAGGGTGACACTGATCACTGGCTTCGCACCAACTGGATTTATCGGGGTGAGGCAGCATCTCGCATTTATGTGGAGCTGAAGTTTACTGTGAGAGACTGCAAGAGCTTCAAAGGTGAAGTGGTGACCTGCAAAGAGACCTTCAACCTCTACTACATGGAGTCTGAGCAGGATGTCGGGATCCAGTTCCGCCGCCCAATGTTCATCAAGGTTGGTAATGCTTGGCTGAAAGACCGTGTCACCTCTTTCAGCTTAAACTGGGTGTGTCTCGCTGGCTAGGGGAAGCCAGGAGAACCAGCATCTGAGGAAGGGAAAGGAATAAGTGTTATCCTTAGAATAAGCTTTGCCCTAGGTGCCCTCTCTGATACTCAGAGCGGCCTCTGCCAGAAGTGGCAATAGTTTTCAAATGAGATCAGACCTCCAATTCTTCTTAAATCCTTATTAAACTGGGCATAACTTAGATGAGAATTCTAAAGCATTATAACAGTGCCCCATTGTTACATCAGTTTTTAGAAACAGTAAAGCAGAGACCAAAAGAATTTCACTTGCCTTAGGCAATAAATCAAGAATAAACCAGGTGAAGAACAGAACCCAAATCAAATCCCTGTGCTTCTGATCATTTGCTCTGATTGTTATCAGATATAGGGTCTTTTTTTCTACATCTGGAGGTGTTGACTTGTTTTAATGAAATTCTCCCTTGTGTAAGTAGTAAGTTGTGAAAATATTCAGCACTACTATTTTACCTGCTGTTCCTCCTGATGCACTGCTATCTTGTCATCGAAATATATGAATTACAGAAAAGGGAATGCCAGCTTTTTTGGTAGAGGAACTTCTATAACTATTTTCTATCCTAAAAGAAACCACAGACCTAGATTATTTGACTGCTCTTTCCTCTACAGTTTAAATGACATGTTATGAAAACAAAGAACTGTAAAAGCTACAACAGGAAGAGCAGGACTAGGGTAGCTGATTCCCCTCCTCCCCTCCCCAGTGCACTTCCCCTCTGGCTGGAGCCTACTGCACATATCTGCTGATACCTCCACAACCCCTAAATCTGCTTTATGATCCCACCACCAGAAGCTCTGCAGATTCTTTAATTGACCATCCAGCTACCTGGAGCAGGTGCTGCTCAGTAACAGGGAGGGGCCTACAGTGGAGAGGATTGTTTTTCAAAGTCTGCAGGAAAAAAGACCAGCCCACCTATAGTCCAGCTTTTCTGTATCACATCATGTCATGGAGGCCTTTCCCATCTGCCCACAGAAATTTGTCTCCCAGTCTCCTTGTTTTTTTGGTGAGGAAGTGGAATGTAAAAGTGTGGAAGCATTTTTCACCCAAGTATTTTCAGTGTACTGAATACTGCATGATGAGCACCTTGGAGTAGAAGCTCTGATCTGCATCAAGTGCAGTTTGGAAACAGGTAGCTGTAATTTGCTGGTCAACTTCAAAAACACATCCCTAAGTGCTGCTGTGATTTTCTTGTATATTGATTTGCAAACAAAATATATCACAGGAGAGATTTGGTCCTGATTTGTTAATTTCTAGTAGGAGTAGTTCCTACAGACATCCAAGATCACAGATCCAGAACACAGTGTACTCTGTAAGACAGAGAATTACTGCAAATGAGTTGAAAGGAAACGGTGAAAAGTATGGAAGCAAGAGATCGTGGCAACCAGTCATTAACACTTCTTCCAAGAGCAAAGAAAGCATGCAGTGCACTGAGATTAGCAACAGTCAACCATGTCTGTGAAAGTACTTAGTGTAAAATATGTTTGACAGGCAAAAGGTATCTCAGAGCTGCTGCCTGCTTGGATGTTAAGCTGTTGTCTTTTTCTCTTTTGCCTAGCTCAACACTGTGGCAGCAGATCGAAGTTTCACAAACAGAGACATTGAATCTGGTGCCATGCAGCTGAACACAGAAGTGTGCCCCATTGGGAAGCTGTCTCGTCGGGGCTTCTACTTAGCTTTCCAGAACTCTGGGGCTTGTGTAGCAATGGTGTCTGTCCGAGTGTATTATAAGACTTGCCCAGAGACATTGCAAGGCCTTGCCCACTTTCCAGAGACACTAGCAGGTTTGGAGGGGCTCACAGAAGTGCCTGGTGTCTGCGTGGAAAATGCAGCTGAAGAAACGGGCTCTCCCCCAAGGATGCACTGCAGCACAGATGGGGAGTGGTTGGTACCAATGGGCCGATGCCTCTGTGTTGTGGGGTTTGAGGAAGTCGATGGGAGCTGCGTAGGTGAGTATGCAGACAGACAGTGGCTGTAGGCCATGGGAGAGATTCCAGGGAGTTGGAGATCAGAGTATCTGTAAGCACAAAGTGAGAGTAGGGGAGTTAGTGTGTCCTACCTCTCTCTTGCCTGCCCTCTGTGCCTGCCAGGCATTTCTAATGCCTTTTCTCCCCTGTGTAGCTTCTTTTCCAATTGTGATTTTCTCCTTATGTGTCAAGTGTAAGACTTGCAAACACCTCTCCACTCCCTCTTGGGCTTCATCCAGGAGCCTTCTGCTTTAGAGTTACTTTCTGCGAGCTGTAACTGTGTGATTGATACTGACTCACTCCACAACTGGTTCCCAAGCCTTAAATGGAAGCCTTGTTCTTTCAGGCTGATGGATCAGATGCATGGAACAGTGCTTGTCCTGTGACTAGAAAGCTGAGAGCCAAAGTGGGGCTGATTTCTCTTTTATGCCCCCTTCTGCTTGGACTGGGATGGTTCTTCTGCCATGGGAAATTGTATAAAGCACACTGCATAATACCATCTGTACCTGGTTCTTTTCTGAGGAAGAGCAATTAGCAGGCATAGGGATCACTATGGTACTCGAATGACAGAGTAAGACAGGGCTGTTGGAGCAAGCAGTGCAGGGCTCCCCTTGTCACTGAGGGGACAGGATCCAGATTCTTATTGCAACTACATGTGTATGTCAGGGGAGAGCATACATACTGTGATTTGGGAAGTGTGTGTTAATGCAGAGAGGGAGATAAAAACACATCTCTTCTGTTGTCTTCAAAGCCATGGAGCATAAGGCTGAGACAGTTCAGAAAACAGAAAAAGGAATCCATGCGTTGCTTCCAGGATAAGCAGAGCGATCTGTCTTTCTCCTCTGTTCTGCCCTCGTTTCACAAGAAGGATTTGGTGCCCCTTTGAATCCTCACTTTTTGCCACTCACTTTGCTTGGAGACCTAGCAAAGGTTGAAACACAACATCCTTGTCCTTCTCCAGAAAACCCCTCTCTTATACAGCCCAGCCAGTTTTTCCACTTAGGTACTACAGAGCTCTCCCCGCCCTCCTGAGAGCACTCCCCTGGGAAGGGGCAGGGAAGCTGTCATGTCTGGACTGGCCCTGGCTCCTATCACTGCACAGGTTCATTTTTTGTCTCTGCTTTTATCCCACTCTGCCTCAGCACAACTGTAACTTCAGTATCTTTTGTATGATCAGTAGGGAATAGGGAAATCTCTCAGGAGAAAAAGTGAAGAGAGAACCTTGCAGGGACAGGGAGAGGTAACTTCATGCCCCAAGAGCAGTGTGTTATTTGAGCATTAGAGGAAATGGTGAAGGTTGCCTTTTGGGGGACGTCTTGAGTTCCTTTCTCTTTATACAGATGTTGTGCAAAGGACTGGGAACAGTCCATATCAGGATGAGGAGTGAGGTATGGGCTTCTACTTATGTTCTCCAAAGATGAAGGACTTCCCCTTCAAACATGAACATGGGGACAGAATGGAGGAAGAAGACTTTCAGGCAGAGATTTCTAGTTCTGATTTTTGCCTTGAGCAAAAAGAGAATTAAAAAATAAAAATAAAAAAAGCTACTCTATGATCCTTGCCTCATAACAGGAAGGAGAATCTGATCTCTAGTATAGGACAGGTGGCAACAGAAAGCCAGAAGACCAGGTTTTGAACTAGTTCATTCAACCTCTTGGTTAATTTCCAGCTGTACAGAGTTCAGCCATCCCATCATCCCAGAAGAGTGGTTCCTGCCCAAAACATTACATCTCAACCTCTCACAGCTTTGCATACCTTGCTGTCAATAAGCCTAGACTTCCATGATTAACATCTTCAATTAAGTCGTTTACTGTGAACCCAAGAGGATGGTTGTGCCTCTGGCTTATATTCTTGATGGGCTCTGCAGGGTGATTGGTGAGTGCATTACTGATGCTGAGCTCCATGTCAGCATTACTCTGGTGCCTGAAGGCCGCCTGATGCTTGCTGGCAGTTTCAGGACAGGAATACTGATAGGGAAGAGTTAGACCACTGCTTCCCTCTGGTACTTGGGTGAGCAGTGCTAATCTCGCCCTTTCTCAGGCTTGTTTTTTGCATCTTGTTGCCTGGAGCTGGTCTGGAGTGGATGCCAAAGGATCCATGAAGCCAAGCGCCAAGGAATGAGAGAGAGATTGGAGTGGAGCTGATTTCCAGCCAGAGGCAGCTGCTGACCTCTGATGTCTAGTGACAGGACCCCAGGGAATGGCACGGAGCCACATCGGGGGGGGGGGGGGGGGGGGGGGGGGGGGGGGGGGGGGGGCAGGTTAGGTGTTAGGAAGCGGTTCTTCAGTAGAGGGTGAAAAGGCTGCCCAGAGCAGTGGTCACGGCCCCGCGCTGTTGGAGTTCAAGGAGTGTTTGGATAATGCTTGCAGACATAGGGTTTGAGTTTCGGGAGCTGCTGTGTGGAGCCAGAATACGGACTCAGCGCTCCTTGTCGGTGCCTTCCAAATCCGGATGTTCTGTGGTTCAGTGATTCTATGGCTAGCGCTCCTCCTCGCCTCGCTCACCCTGGGGGAGCCGAGGCAGAGACCGCCCTGTTTCTGCCAAGTGAGCCCGTAGCGGCCGCGCTCCAGGGAACTGCAGGTGGCAGCGCGCGGGCTGAACGCCTCACGGGCAGCAACGGCAGCGTGGCTGCCGGCCAGCTGCCGCGGGGCAGCGCCCACTCAGCCATTCACATGGCAGAGCCTGCCATACCCACCCCTGCCCAGCCGGGCGCTCCGGGGTAGGCTCCGCACCGCCTCCGAGGCGGGGCTGGCATCGCGTCTCTGAGTGGGGCCGCCGGTTTTCCGCCGGTTCTCCGCCGGCCCCGGCCCGGAGCCTTGGGGCACCTCCCCGGCGCTGTGCAGCCACCTGCCGGCCGTTGCTGGCATTGCGGCAGCGGGTGCGTGGGCCCCAGTCGCTGTGGCGGGGAAGCCGAGGCGCCAGGCGCCGACACCGCAGCACCTCATGCATGGGGCGGCGAAGAGTGCCTCGGGCGGGTCGTGGTGGCTGAGCCGGGGGCTGCGCCCTAAGGCGCCAGGGCCGCTCTCCCTTCGGACCGCGGGGCCTCGATCGTGGCTGCGGGGCTATGCTGTGGCTGCGGGGCTATGCTGTGCCTGCCGCTGCCGGGGCGCCGGTCTGGTCTGGCCTGGGCTTGTTTTGGCTTGTTTTGGCTTAGTTGCCCGAAACTCAATGGCCTTGTGCGTACCGCCCGCGGGGAGCTGCCCCCTGCTGTCCTGAGCCTCCAGACATGCTCGGGCCCGAGCCTGGCCACCTGGAGGCATACTGATGTACTACTGATCGTACAGGCGGCTGTGTGCCATCACTCCAGTCTGCAGCACCTGGCCCCGCTTGGTTTTTAGCGTAGACGTAGCCTAAGGTGATGTGACCTGATCAGGCAGACTGGTGCCTTCCCTGCTTCCCTGCTTCCCTGCCCCCTCCTAGGTTTCTCCCTTCACCCAGATGTTCCTTTTCAGTGCAGCCTCACTGCTTGAGCAGGGAAGTTGGACTGGATGATATCCAAAGGTCCCTTCCAACCTCCCTGCTCAAGCAGCATCCTTTAGAACACAGTACGTAGGACTGTGTCCAGATAGATCTTGAATATCTCAGGAGAAGGATACTCCACAACCTCTTTGGGAAATGTTACACTGTTCAGTCACCTTAACATTAAGCCTTTTCTTCTCCAGGATGAACAGGCTCATTTCCCTCAGCCTTTCTTCATATGAGAGATGTTCCGCTCTCTTGTTTTAATAGGCCTTTGTTGGACTCAGTCCAGGAGCTCTGTGTCACTGGGGAGCTCAGAACTGGACACAGTACTCCAGGTGAGGCCTCACCAGTGCTGAGAGGGTTGTTGACCTCCACTGACCACATAGTTGAATGATGGTAGCTAAAAATGATAAAAACTGTAACCGGTGGTTCTGAGGTATTTTCTGAGGTTAGAAGGTAGAGAGACATACTTTAATGCAGCAAAGACAGTGTCAGATGTTGCAGTTAGAGAATGATTTGGCTGTATATTTTTATAGACTGGAAACAGGAAACCTACGACACATGTTCTCTTGTATTCCATGTTAGCTTCCTAGCCAATCACATTCACTGCTTTTAGGCAAACTGGTAATTATCTAGGTATTCCTTGTGGCCCTGCTAGATGATATTCTGGTACAACACTTGTAAAGGTGCTTCTGCTAAATAGCCCACTGGCTATCTCGTATGAAGTTGGCAAGCAGTAGAGTCTGAAGAGTACAAGGACTTGGAAGCAGCCAAGTTTATAGCCTGACTGGATTCTTTTTCTCGTGCAACGTTCTGGAGATTCCACTTCTTTGGTCTACAAAACCTTCAATAACATTGAGTCCACCTTGAGTTTGCGTCTCTTCTTTGTGTGCTCTGAGAAGATAATTGATATATGTGACCTTCAAGGATCCCTTCCAACCCAAATATTTCTGTGAACTAAAAGAATTGAAGAAAAGCAGGCATGTAAAAGGAGTGTTCAAGAAACTGAACAAAACTGTCCAATTGTTTCATAGAATCATAGAACCAAAGAATCTTGGATCAGAAGGGACCTTAGTCTAGTTCCAATCCCAGTGGGCCACCCACTGGGTCAAGCTGCCCAGAGCCCCATCTAACCTGGCCCTGAACACTACCAGGTATGGGGCATCCACAGCTTATCTCTGGAGCCTGTGCCAGTGCCTCACCACTCTCTGAGTAAAAAATATCCTCCTAATATGTAATCTAAATCTCCCCTCTTTTAGTTTAAAAATACCCCATCTTGTCCTGCTACTATCTGCTTGTGTAAAAAGTTGGTCAATACTGTTAAACTTATATTAACTTATCTCTTCACAGCCTGCCAGCGAGGATTCTACCGTCACTCTCTGGAGACTAAACGCTGCCTGAAGTGCCCCCCAAACAGCTTGTCCAATGAGTCAGGGGCTAAATTTTGTTCCTGCAATGCCGGCTTCTATCGGGCACCTTCAGAAGGCCAAAACATTGCTTGCACCCGTGAGTTGTGGCGGGAGAGAAAGAACTAAGAGTGCTTGGAAATAGGGATGAGAGATCAGAGAGGGAGAGAGTGGGGGGAACAGAGGGCATAATTCAGAATGCACCAGCAGATGGGAAACTGCCTCCATACTTTGGGTATTATTAACTGGACCAAATACTTTCTTTCATGTTTCTTGTAGGTCCTCCCTCAGCTCCCCGCAATGTCAGCTTCTCCCTTATTGGCACACAGCTCAGTCTGTGGTGGCAGCCACCCAGTGACCACGGTGGGCGAAAGGACCTAACTTACACAGTCTTCTGTCAGCGCTGTCATTTCCAGTCATGTGATCCATGTGAGCCTGGTGTGGTATTCTCCCCAAGTGCTTCAGGTCTCACCAAAACTGCTGTGGATGTGGATGGCCTAGAAGCTTACACCAACTACACATTTGCTGTGGAAGCCCATAATGGTGTCTCAGGAATGGGACCTGCTCCACAAAGAACTGCTCCAGCTGTCTGGGTTGCAGTTGGACATGCAGGTTAGCAGAACCAGAGAGTTCTTCCTGCTCACCAGAAAAAGGAAGAGGAATCTCTGTGAATGTTTAAGCATTCTCCATCTTCTCCTTCTGTCTGCTACGTGCATTGGTAGGGTATGATAACTTACCTCTTGCCTCTGTCATGTGAAGTCCCTCAGTCGTATTTCTTGCATATCAAAGCAGCAGTAAACATTACCCGGTAAGAGCTATGAATCCACCAAAGACTTAACAGAATTGGGAAGGTTAAAGCTTTTCCTGTGATACACTGCTGTAGTCCAACCAATATACTGTTACATGTGTGACAGGAAGAATGGAGCCTATGACATTACTCAGATCAAAAAATCAAACACAACAGAAATCCTGATGTAACCGAAAAGGCAAATTTTGAAAGCATGGAGAAATAAAGATGTTAAAAACATACTAGTTCTCCTTCACACATATGTGTATAGATTTGTTTCAAGTCTAGTTTGGTTGTCCTTAAATACTTTCCAGAGTGCTGTGAAACATGATTATAGACAAGTGACATTACAGTTCTCAACAGCCCCTAGTACTTTCCTCAGTTCTGATTTAGTGACAAAATACAACTTCTTCTTTCTTCTTCCTGTTACTGTACAGAGGCAGTGTAGCTCTGAGCTAGGAAAGCAGAGCTGCTTTGACTTATCTCACCACTTCCTGTTGATGAAGGACAAGGAGAGAAGCAGTTTTGATACTTCAAACTGCAAACTGTTAAAAATTATCATTTTATTTATGAATATTATGCATCTGCGGTCACCTGAGAGATTTAGATCATGAAATTTCACAGTACACTTACGAAATGGAATTGCATTCATAAATCACATAGGCTAGTGGTATTACTGTTGTTGTTGGAGTAGAAAATCCTAACATTTTGGTTTCAGTACAGTGCTGTGTTAAATGTAATTTCTTGAATCACTGATTTTGTTTTGAAGATGAAAGATACATACTACTTCTGTTGGGGTAGATACTGTTGGTGAAGTATGCAATTCCAGTGAACTAATTACATCTGAAGACCTCATTTTCTTTTCACTGTAGAAGAGAAGGGTGTGGCAGTGGTAATTTCTAGTTGGATAGTATGACCAGAGAAGAAAAGATAGTGCCTTGGATGGAGTGAGGGCTTATTTTGCATTGTTTGTATTTCATACTGATATTCTTTGTTTTCCACCCGGCAGCTCCAGTGACAGTATCCCAGTTTATTCTGACACAGAGGGATGACAGTAGTCTGTCAGTTTCTTGGCTCGCCCCACGACAGCGTAGCCGAACCTCAGTGGAATATGAGGTCATGTTCTTTGAGAAGGTGAGATCTGCCTCATCTGTTCTTCCCTCTTTCACCTAAAGTTATGAAAATGTCCTTTTCGTACTATGTTTTAGTTACTTGGCATTGTTTGATTTGTGCAGGGAGAGGAGGCACGTTACACAGTGAAGCACCTTCTTGAGCCAAATGTCACTCTGACAGACCTTCAGCCAGACACAACCTACCTGCTTCGTGTGAGATCCATCACACCCCTTGGGCCTGGGCCCTACTCCCAGGAGCAGGAATTCCGCACCCTTCCACCAGGTAAATACAATTATTGTATGTCGTTAGTGAGGAACTCGCTTCTCCATCAGATAGTACATGCATATAGTACATGAATCTCTTTTTGTGTTCTACCAGCTGTAAGGCAAAGGAATCACACTCCTGCATTCCTTGTCATCAGGGCCAGGCCTTGCTGACAAAGCCTTATTGTGTACACAAAAGTCCTAAACACGGAGTCAATTATCTTTCATGCTTTCTCATATTCTATTTTACTTTCCCATTCAGAACTATTGTTCTCAGGTTTGTATGTTGGTAAATTGCTTATATCCTTTCATTTAGTTCTCCTGAAAGTTACTTTGATTCTGGATAGCAATGTTCCTAGTGCAAGATTAGCAAAATGATCAGCACATGTCTCCTTTTGTGTGGAAATTGCTAATGAAAAGAAAAACTCAAAGGACTTCACCACTATATTTTTCCTGCATTATTATTTCTACTGTATGTCGTTGAGCCCCTTAATGTGCACATGTCAATGACTCTATCCAAAAAGATGGTATGTGCTGTTGAAAAAAAAATCTCATCCAAAGTGAAGAAGATCAGACTACTAAAGCCACAGGGAAAACTTTCTTCTGCATCTAAGGAAATCACACACAGAGTCCGCATCCAACCTTCACTTTCCCTGGGTTACTCAGAGACTTATCTGTTATCAAAAGTTTTCAGTAATAGAATTTAGTCTGTCTTCATTCCACAAATTCACAGATCCTCCTAGTGCCCCCATGGATGTTCCTGATAATTTTAGAAATATGTTCATTGAAATGATGCCAATGAAAGCCTAGTTTTGTTGTAATGAAATACAGAAATAGAAAGAAAAAAAAAACCGCATACCTTTATTTTAATAAAAATTACATAAACAGAGTAAAAGCTGATAAAGATTTGTGACTCCGTGATTGAAATATTTGAAAATTGGGCTTTTTTACACCGGGAAGATTTTCATGGAATCACAGTGCCAATTATAATAACATAAATGATCATAGGAGAGACATTGACCTGTTGGAGCACATCCAGAGAAGGGCCACAGAAATGATTAAAGGGATGGAACACCTCTCCAAGGACACACTGAGAGAGCTGGGGTTGTTCAGCACTGACAGGAGGTGGCACTGGAGAAACTTGATAGCGGCCTTTCAGTGTATGAAGAGAGGCTATAAGAAGGAAGGGGACAGACACTTCAGCAGGGTCTGCTGTGACAGGACAGGGGGAAGTGCTTTCAAACTAAAGTAGGGGAGATGTAGAGGGGATATAGAGAAGAATATTTGTACAGTAAGGGTAGTAATGCACTGGAGCATGTTGCCCAGAGAGGTGGTAGAGGCTCTGTCCTTGGAGACATTCAAGGTCGGGCTTGATGTGGCTCTGAAAAACCTGTCCTAACTGATCTTCTGTTCGTTCCAGGGGATTTGGACTAGATGACTTTTAAAGGTCCCTTCCAACTCGAACGACTCTATGATCATTAACCAATAGACTAATGTACAACAAAGGTTCTGTGAAAAATATAAGTATTTAAATTAAAATGTAGTAGATGTTTTTGATTATGAAGTGATATGCTATAGTATACTTTGCATCTTTCCCCGGGATTACATTTGTTTTTTAAATAAAAGTTGATCATCTTGTCATGCTAAGACAAATGTACTTTGAATATGAAAGAGATAAAACCTTGCCAGAAAGGTTTCATTTGGTGGGAGAGCTTCTTTGATGATACTAGAAGGATTTTTGCTGCAGTGGTCTAGGGACACTATTTGTATATGGAACAAAATTTGTAGGGAGAAGCAATTTTTAAATCTGAATTTGAGTATTTAAGATTCCTTAACTTCTTGCAGAAGAACTATGTACTTAAGAGCTAGTTACTGTTTTCTAGATGTTTTAATGAAAGATACTTTTTCCCCTTCCAAATCTTGCCTTTTTGATTTTATCAAAAAAGAACATTGGTTTTGCTTTTTTGATTTCTGCTTATCTAAGCTGGTGATTTTTAGAAATGTTAATGAATGAGTCGGCATCAAATTGAGCAACAGTAACAAGTATTATTTAGGCATTATGGATGCTGACCATTGGACAGGATGTTAGGAAATGCTTCTAGACACTGTCCTTGCTTAAGAATCTGTCATTTATTGAAATGTTGTATCTAAATTTTCTTTTTTTCTGGTTGTTTTCTGGTTCCAGTTGTTTTCCTAAATGTCTTCAGGGAAGGTATTTAAAAAATGCAGATACTCATTAGATATGGATGTGAACACTCTTCATTACTGCATTTAAAAATAAATTGTTTCTTAAGTTACAAGAAATAAAGGCTTAAAAACACACACTTCAAAAACAGAAATCATTTAGCATTTACTCTGATAAATTCAAATATACAGTAGTATGGAAATGGTTGGCTTCAGCTTAAGAGTATGTCACAGTTCCGTCCCAGTTCGGCCTGGTTCTGTGACTAATGGGGCAAGGGGGACCCACAGACCCTTGCCCCTAGAAAGGGGAAAAGTGGTAGGGAAAAGGTAGGGAGATAGACCAAAAAAATAGTGGATAGTGGAATGTGAGATAACACAATATAATACAATATAGTTGGAATTGAAGCTAATAAATCAAATAAATGAGAGACAGTGTCCAAAAACCAAAGGCCTTATTCTAATGCTGAAGATGAGATGGCTAGGGAGAGCACACTGCAGAGAAGAGTAGAAAAAGAAGGGCCAACCTCATGACTTCCAATCAGTTTTATCTTTCCCTCTGAATGGAAAACTGAAATGGAACAGTTATGTCTTCTGGGAGCTGTAGTTCTTCCCTTCTGAGAGAAGCACCTGGAACTACTGACAATCCACGGGACTGTAGCATTAATTCTTTAACTACCAGTGCAGTGCATGATGTTATGATGTGGAATACCGATAACAAAAATCATAAAAGCACAATGAAGTCTAAATGAATGAACAATACTATAGGATTCACATCTGGTCACTCTGCTGCTTGGAAGACAAATCACCATAATTCACCTAATACAGATAGCTGGTGGAAGCTGGTTGCTGTGTTCCTGACAAATAATTCTTGGTCTTTTAAATGACATGGCCATTCTCTTTGTCTCTGCAGACACAGGAGCTCTTTCTGGTGGAGTCGTAGCATCTATTATCTTTGGAGTTCTGCTATTTATTGGGCTGCTTCTGGGAATTCTGTTCTTTCGACGAAAGTAAGTGTTGAATTTTGGAGTTGAAAAAGGTTTAGTGTAGGCTATGGGAGCTTAAGACAAAGTTAAGAAAGGAGAAACTGATCTCTCAGAGGAAGTTAGACAAGTTAGTTAGAATTGAAAGAGGAAGATCAGCATGTTGCAATAAGATGTACTGATTCTCAGTAAGCAGCAATTTTGGAGGGGTTGAAAAATCAAAAATCCGTATCATACTTTAAATTACATTACATACTACATTTTATTACATATTTATTATATTTATTACATATTACATGAAATACTTTAATGGTCACCTACCCAGATACAAAGTTTTGCTTCCCTACCCAGATACAAAGTTTTGCTTCCTCTTTAAGTGTCTACAAAATTTCTATTGTTTGTTTCAGATCAGTTGTTGTATTGAAAATGTACAGAAAATATGAAATAAATGGAAATTAATGGATATTAATAAAATAAATGGAAATTGATGTAATTCATCAAGGATAGAACAAAACTACCTGTATGGAAACAAAGCTCCATTTCTAAATGTACAGGAGACACTGCATTTTCTTGCCAGCTGCAAGAAAGAGCTCTGCACTACCCAGAGATCTATGCCTGACCAACTAGGGCAGAGTCCATAGAAGACTTGCTTTTCTTTTTGCTGTCTGTTAATCATTCGAGTTTCATGACTTCTTGTGTTTCAGGAAGACTCACCGCAGACAGGCACGGCCTGATTATAGCACTTCAGGCTTTGATCGAGGTGAGTTGGAACCAGGGAAGAACCCAGAATAGATTGGAAGGAATTAAAAGAATTGGGGTTTCAAATATCACAAGAGCATGGCTTTTCTTTTGCAATATGTCTGTTTCTATAATAGCAGTATTTTCAGTGTACGTTTGGTGTATTTGTTTACTTCTCTTGTTGGAAACCTGTGTATTCATCTCTGCTTTGTAGCTTTGTCCTACATAACTTGTCCAAGGTGCTGACAGGTTTATTAGCCCTTTTGTTTCCTTTACCTTAGAGAAGGTCTGGTTGAAGCCCTATGTGGACCTGCAACCATATGATGATCCCAGTAGAGGGGTTCTGGAGTTCATTAAGGAACTGGATGTCTCTTGTGTCACTATGGAGAATGTGATTGGGGAAGGTGAGTTTGTTGGTCTTCTCTTCGTCTTTCAGTTCTCTCATGCTGCTGTTCACCTGCTACTCTTGAGCTCATCTGTGACCTATTATTTCTATTTGTCCTCAGGGGAGTTTGGGGAGGTCTATCGTGGGTCTCTGCGGCTCCCAGGGAAAGAACGTATTGTGGTTGCCATCAAAACCCTCAAGTCAACATATTCAGACTCACAATGGTGGAACTTCCTGCGTGAGGCAACAATTATGGGGCAGTTCAATCACCCAAACATCGTACATCTGGAAGGAGTTGTCACCAAAAGTAAGAATGTGGGAAATGTTCCTGGAATTACAGTAGAAAGTGGCACGTTCCTAGGAACATTCTTAAGAGGAGGTTATGTCAGGGAGGCTATGTTGGGCAAATATACATTGTTATGTTAGCTTATGGCAAGAAATGAGGAAGGGAGGAGAGTTATGGATTTCCAGAAAAGTCAAGAGGTAGTGTTAGTAAAGATCTTGGGTTGGTGAGTGGATATGAGGTTGGAATAGTGTAAGGGATGGTGGAATGTTATGTGTGAGACACAAAGAGAAATACAAAATCACTGGAGGAGTTCTAAGGGGAGGGACATCTATCTCACTATGCCAGTGGAACAGGAATCGTGGTTGAGGTTAGGTATGGTTCTCTGTTTTGGGGGAGTATGGAGAGCATTGAAAAAGGAGAACTGCGAAAAAGGTGACACTTTAATGTTTTCTTCAAGGAAGGCCAATGATGATCATCACTGAGTATATGGAGAACGGAGCGCTGGATACCTTCCTCCGGGTGAGAGACCTTAATCTATAATAGGCTTGTGTACTGCTAAAACTTGCACTTGACCTGGATTTAGGACCCTAAGAGAAGACCAGAAATAAGACCTAGACATCCACATAATTTTTGTTCACTAACATTTCCAGTCTCAAGCTGAAGCTTGACACCATCCAATTTGCTCAGTAGCCAGAATGCTGTCTTTGGCAGTTAAAATGCAGGTGCCTAGTGATGACTCGAGACCACCACCAGTGTCTTAGTGTGAACCTGTGGGGTCCCTTGGGCTACAGCACCATGTTTTACTTGTTACCACTGCACTCTTTTTCAAGTTGATAAAGTCAGTATCTAGAAATCAGCAGAGTGATGTTACTTTGGATGGCGTCCTGTGCAGCCTGGTCAAATATCAGATGTGGAGGTTGGCAGTCCTGCCTGCGGCAGGGGAGTTGGAGCTTGATGATCCTTGAGATCCCTTCCAACCCAGGCCATTCTATGATTCTATGATTCTGTGACTTGACCAGGTTTTCTCTCACTTCTTCCATGTAGGAGAATGAGGAAAAATTTAGTCCTGTGCAGCTTGTGAACATGCTGCAGGGAATAGCCTCTGGCATGACCTACCTTTCAGAACACAACTACGTGCACCGGGATCTGGCTGCTCGCAACATCCTGGTAACACGCAGCCTTCAGTGCAAGGTGTCTGACTTTGGTCTTTCCCGAATATTGGAGAATGATGCAGAGGGAACATATGAAACCAAGGTAATGCAAAAACAGTCTCTGGATGGATAAGGTCTCAGTCTTGTAAGTGAGCTGCACTATTGGGAGATCGGGTTTCTGCCAGGTAAGAATGGCAGAATTTTTTTGTAATATGAAACATGGAGAATTTGGAGGAAAAAATCTCTATAGGAAACCCATTATAAAATTGCAAGTCATTATGTGATGGAAGGTGGTGCTTTTCTATTGAATCCATGTTGATTCTGTTTGCTAAGAGAATAAGTACAGGAAATGTAGTTTTTGAAATGAAGCAAAATAAGATGTCTGATATTTTGGACTCGGTTAATAACATCTAGCTATGAAGACAGCCCTGCTGTGAGCAGGAGTTTGGAGTAGGGAGATGTACAGGTCCCTTTCAAAGAAAGCTCCAGTGATTCTAATATCATGTTTCATTGCAAGTAGGTCTGTTACTGGCATCAATATCTTACACCCACAGCAGTGGTTTTGTGGTTTTGAATTCAATTGAACAGAAGGCTTAAACTCATTCACTTTACAAGATTATTTCTGTCTTTTTGACAAATTTCCCCAGAGTTGATTACACATCACTTTAAGAGAAGAGGGCCCAGTCTAAGAAGTAGTTCGTGAGTTCTTTGCATGAAAGCACTGGAGAAGCATAACTCCATGATACAAACTGGATACACTATGTCTTTTCTCTTTTACAGGGTGGTAAGATTCCAATCCGATGGACAGCCCCAGAGGCCATTGCTCATCGGATTTTCACCTCAGCCAGTGATGTCTGGAGCTTTGGAATTGTCATGTGGGAGGTGCTATCATTTGGTGACAAGCCGTATGGGAATATGACCAATCAGGAGGTAATGTACATTGAGCTCTCGTGCAATTTAAGGATATACTTAAGGAATTATTTAAGGTTATTATTTAAAGAATGTAGACCGTACTTGTTCTTCTTCTACGTGCAAACTTGCCATTCATCTGAATGCATAACTACTTTCTCCTTCCCTGCTAAAAATCAATGTGGCCAAGCTTTGACTTGGGCAGTAACAGAATCATTTGGTTCTCACTTCTAAGGAACATGTGCCCTGAATCACAAATGGAACTAAGCTAATAAAAGACTGAAACCAGATATGTATTTCTCTTCACATTTTGACATCCGTTATGTTTTCTTATCCTTTGCTGTCCAAACCCTACGTTATACATACGTAACCTGCTTCAACCCCTTTCATTGCTGCATAATGGTGAACTGTCTGCTCCCAGCCCCCTGGAGGTCTCTGGTCCTTCTTTTACATCTGGACAGAGTTTTGTCTGTTCTCTGTGCAGGTGATGAGAAGCTTAGAGGACGGGTACCGGCTCCCCCCACCTGTAGACTGCCCATCCATCCTCTATGAGCTAATGAAGAGCTGTTGGTCACATGATCGAATGAGGAGGCCTCATTTCCAGGAGATTCGAGCACAGCTGCAACACTTCAGCTCAAGCCCCCATCTTCTCCGCTCTGTTGCAGACTTTGATCCCAGGTAAACAGACTGGCATTGGAGGAGGAGAGATTAACTGGGAGATTTTTGCCTCCTGTTCAAACAGGAGAGGTGATGTTAGCAGTGCAGTCTGGCAAGAGACACGTTGGATGTTCTGTGAGCAGAAGGTAGCAGTAATCTTTCCCTCATGCTGATGTAAGGCCTAGCCATGGCTCTGGGCAGTCTGATCTCCCTGCAGAGAGCAGATTAGTGGCCTAGCCCTGGTAGAGAGTTTTCTCTCTCAAGCTACTGCCTCATAGTACTGATCACTTAAGGTATTTGCCTGGCTAAATGAGGGTTTCATCTGCTTTTAGGGTAACGCTCCGGCTCCCAAGCTGCAGCGGATCTGATGGTATCCCCTATCGATCTATTCCCGAGTGGCTGGAATCCATTCGCATGAAGCGTTATATCTCCAACTTTCGCACTGCTGGCCTTGACACCATGGAGTCAATTCTGGACCTCACTGCTGAGTAAGGACAGGCTAAGTTTCCACAGCACACACCAGGCTATTTTGAAAACAGCTGTATCTGTCATGCTGTCTGAACATGACAGGACATCACATTTACTTGTAAGGCTTCTTCATCCTTCTTTATGTGGTTAAATGGAAGTGGAAAAGCCTATTGCCCTGTAAGGGAATGAATAGCCAAAGCTGTGAGACTGTTTCCCTCATTGCCCATGCCTGAGCCTTACTGGGGGCCTGAGCTGCTCTGAACTCCTATCAGACACAAGAGAGCAAGAAGAGACATCAAATAATTCTCTAACCTGACCATTTCTGCAGTCTCACAGGGCTTGATTAGAGAATTTTCTTGCTTGAACTCGACAGGCTAGTGACTTTTTCCCTGTTTCAGCTAGGCACAGTTCCATCCTAGAACCAAGTCCTTCTGGGCCCTTTAGAAGATCTAAGGCCAGATGCTTTACCAGCTCAGACTTTTTCTGCTGTAGGTTTGGGAACATACGACCAAGTATAAACAGAGCAGTTACATAAAACAAATGGACAGGTACAGTCCAGGGACTCTACTAAAGAGTTGAGACATGGCCCATATCAGAAGAGGGCATAGATGCAGTCCTAATTTTATAGGAGCATAAGCCTAGTCACAAGGTGGAAGAATCTAGTTGACTGGGTGGGAAGGGGAAAGTAACGCCTGGATGTTTCTTCTCTCTAGAGAAAAAGGGGTAGCAGGAGGTACTGAGGGAAAGGAAGCTTTCTGAACTAGTGCTTAATAACTGTTTCTTGCCTTAAGCACATCCTAGTCTGCAAGGCACGAGAAGAGCAATTCATTTTTTCCTTTCTCTTCCCATTTCCTTCAGGGACTTGAAACAGATGGGAGTGTCACTTCCAGGCCACCAGAAGAGGATTCTGTGTAGCATCCAAGGCTTTAAGGAGTGACCAGTTGTTGCTCACTCAAGCTTGCCAAATGCTGTCTTACCAGATATCACTTGGAATCATTCCTATGGCAATTGCTTCCAAATGAGTGACTGGGACAAGATAAGCAAAACAACCAGGACTGAAAAGACTTATGAGGCAACACCACCTGCTCTCATTTCTGTTTCCCCTTGCTTCAGCCAGCAGTACTTTTCAGAACACTGGTCTTAGAATCTGTTCTCAATCCTGTCTTCTACTGTTAGTTCTGTGCAGCACGGAATAATCCCTGTAGTCCACATAATGGACTTTCAAGCCAGATAATCACATGGAAATATAAGGATACATACAATTGCAGGGTGGGGATTGGGATAATGTTTTAAGATTGAAAATGAGGATGCTGTGGGACCTTCAGAAAACATGCATAAGGATGCAGACAGAGGTTGGGCACATTCACTCCCTGATGTACATTCCTTCTCATTTCAGCAGCCTTCTGTTTTATTTCACAATAGGAACAAACTATTCAATCTTTCACAAGGCTGCTGCTAGGGGATATATTTTTAAATTAAGCTATTCTTGCTTTAAACATCACCAAGTCATGGTGTACTTTGTTCTTTGAAGGAGAAGTTGGGAGTAGCAGCGCACCCTGCTGTAACCTTGGCATGTTGCTTACTTGCACATGTACTTCAGCGGAGTGATTTACCTCTCTTCAACCTGCTTAATACCTTTACTTGTTCCATAGACACAAAACCTTGTAGGTACCAATTTTTCTCTGCCCCTTTTTTGAAAGAGGGACTGAATAAGGTATTTGTAACAGAAAAATGTAGAGGTGGTCTGTCATTCCTTCTCTGTGAAGGAAGTATTATTATTTATCAGAACTCAAGACAGAGGTGCTACAGACTGTAAATAGTATTTTGTAAATAAACTTGAGGCAGAGCAGGTTGTGTGTTGGTGTGCTTTGGCTTACCTCAAATAATTTCGGATATATGTATAGAATAGAATATATGTATTCTATTGCTCTAGAATACATGTAATAATTTCCAGCAGGTGATTACATCCAATTTTTGTTGTTTCAGCCAAGCTTAAGGACTGGCAGTCGTGTAACTGCAGATGTGCAAATGCAGTTGCATTTTGACAAAGGGATGCATGTGCAGCTGGTCACTTCAGACATTTTTCTTTAAACTGATTTCCTGCTGTAATGTACAGCTGTAAACCAAGTCCATCTTTGTACAGCTCCTGTGTTTACCCCTAAACTGTGAGAAATACTAGAAGCTACTCATGTAGTTCAATGAAATATGTGAGTAGTACTTCCTTTTGCTGCAGAAGAAAGTATTCAGGTGAGAAGAGGGGGAAAAAGTAAAAATCACACTGCTGGTCCTAAGACTTCCTCAAAAAGCAAACTGGACTCTCACATCATACCTAGGGTGAGTTGGCTGTACTAACCTTAAGATATTTCTAAGCACTTGTGCTAAGTCAAGTTTTGTGAAGATGGTGAGCACTAGCCAGTCAGCAATCAGTTACTTGTAGATAGGTGTGTTTCCATAATTGTATAATGCTCCAAATTCTTAAGGGTTTAAATTGCCATCCTCTTTCTGTGAAGGTCTTGCTTAACCTATGCCTACAGAACATCTAAGAAGCACAGATCTAAAAAGATGCAACTTAAGGCAAGAAGAATGGTTTCTGTTCAAGGTGAGAAGCAGCAGAGCATAAACGAGAAACCACAATATCCATTTATGTCAGCCACTTGAGTTCATGCAACTAGAGTAAGTCACTGCCAACAAGAAAAGCTTGTATTATGAGTCTTGTTAGTATATCAGGAAGTTCAGTCTCAGTAATAGATATTTTTAACATGAAGCATAGATAATAAACTTGCTGCATGAACAGTGTCCAAGCTAGATGGTAAGCTTTGATGAGGCTGACAAAATAAAAGCATGTGTCATGCAAACATAAGCTTTAATGTAACCTTACAGAAGATAGAAAATTGGTATGAGTAGTTGCTACAGCAGGTTGTTGTACTGCCATTTAGAGGGACCTTGGCACATGGAAAAAAGGGAAGGGAGGAGTCTTGTGAATTTCAATAAAGGGAAATGAGGGAAATGAAGAGCCCTGTAACAAGGGAAGTGTAGCCTCTTGCACCAGTACATGCTGGAGGCTGACTGGGCAGAAAGTGTGAAAGTACCTGCATGTTCCACCTTCAGCAAATTGCACATCAGTCAGTAAAGCACCCTGGCAGCAAAGGAGGCCAACACTGCCTAGACTGCATAAGAAAATGCATCATGAGTAACTGGAAGGGGCCTATTCTTATCAGAATCATTTAAGTTGGAAGGGATCACCAGAGGTCATTTAATACAGCTCCCCTGCAATGAACAGGAACAGCTATATCAGAATCCTGTCCAGCCTGACCTTGAATGTCTCCAAGGGCAGGGCATCCAACACATCTCTGGACAACCGGTTTCAGTGCTTTACCATCCTTATGCAAAAGACTTCTTTCTTACATATATCCAATCTAAATCTCTCACTTAGTTTTGAAACCATTTCCCCTTGTCCTGTTACAAGAAATCCTGCTAAAAGTCTGTCCCCTTCCTTCTTATAAACCCCCTTCATATACTGAAAGGGTTTCCCCAGAGTCACCTCCTCTTTGCTCAACATTCCCAGCTCTCTCATCTGTCCTTGTAGAGGAGGTGTTCCAACCCTTGGATCATTTTTGTGGCCCTCCTTTGGATGCACTCCAACAAACCCACTTCTCTCCTGTACTGAGAACTCCACATTTGGACACAGTTCTCCAGGTGAGGTCTCACCAGCACTGAGCAGAGGGGCAGGATCACCTCCCTCACCCTGTTGACTGTGCTGCTTCTGATACAGCCCAAGGTACGGTTGGCTTTCTGGGCTGCGAGGGCACACTGCTGCCTCATGCCCAGTGGCCATCCACCAGTACCTCCAAGTCCTTTTCATCGGGGCTGTGATCCATCCTTTCATCCCACAGCTTGTGCTGATAGCAGAGATTGCCATGACCCAGGTGCAAGACCTCGCACTTGGATTTATTAAACCTCATGAGGTTTACCTGGGCCCACTGCTCAAACATGTCTACGACTCTTTGAATGGCATCCTGTCCTTTGGGTGTGTCAACCGCACCAAACAACTTGGTGTCATCTGCAAAGTTGCTGAAGGTGCACTTGATCTTCCTTTCCCCCACTCCTCTCTGAGGAGAAGTCTAGAGTGTTTTGTCCAACTCTGGTACAAGGACATGGATTTACTGGAACAATATCAGTGTAAGGTCAGCAAGATTTTGAAGGGATTACACAATGGGAGCACAACATTTTGGCTTGCCTGGGCTGCACTGAGAGAAGAGGAATTGTTTTAGGCCACATATAAATTATATAATACAGTTAATGTATATAACTAACAAAACTCATTTTTAATTTTTTTTTTAATTAAAACATAAAAAGTGAGAAAACAGAACTAGTGGGATATTTGACCTTGTTTTTGTGAAACTAAACTAATGTATCAGTCTGTTTTGATGGAAGTGGTTGCAATTCTTAGTGAGTTCTTAAGGAGTTCATGAGGGATTTTTGATGAAATTTTACTCTTCCTGTACTTCATCCTTGATAGTTATTCAGAAACGTACATACTGCCAAAGAGCGATTGTGTGAATGAGGCACAATTGAGAAGCAAGGGATGTTTTTTTCTGTTAAGATAGGGCTTATAAAAGTCTGGTAAAGAGACATGACCAAATTTTCAAGTTGAATATCTGATTGCAACTCTACACGTTCCACTTGAAAATTTCCAAGTAATGTATTTACATCAACTGAAAATGGAGTCAAATATATACAGAAAAATTGATGATTTTTTTTTTTTTGCAACCATGAACCCCTTTCTTAAATTCCTCTACCAAGACAGAAAGCAAGGCTGCATATTTTTTGCTGTTCCCAGGACTGTGCTTAGCCAACGTATCAAAACACATATAATTATTTGCCATAACTTGATTAAGTTCTGCAATGCTCCCTTCCCACACACTGATTTCAGTCCAGACAGTCCCAATCACACACTGATGTTTGACTGTTGCTGAGCAATGGGTGTGTGCCTGCAGGACAGGCTGTGAACATGTCTAGGTTACAGCATTTGACATACAGGATGTCTGAGAGAGGAAAGACTGCTCAACCTCATGCTGAGAAGGTCTGGGTAGCTTTTATCATTGTATATAGTTACGTGAAGGAAGACAGTGAAAAAGAGGAAGCCAAGCTCTCCTTGGTGGTATCCAGTGAAAGAAGCAGCTGTGAATGTATATGAAACTGCATGAATTTCCATCTGAAATTAAGAAAAATCTTTCTAATTGCAAAAAAGCAGTGGAGCTCTCATCATTGGAGTTACTTAGAAATTGATCAGGCACAGTCCTGAGCAACCTGCTCTGACTGACCCTGCTTTAAGCCAGAGGTTGGTTATAGGGGTCTCTTCCGACCTCAGCTATTAGGAGATGCTGAATCAGCGCCATGTCTTCAGGTACAGGCAGTAGCAAGTCGGAACATGTACTTCCAGGAGGCACTCCTGCACACGTTCAATAGAATGCATGTACATACACTTGTACATGAGTGGCCTCATAGAAAAAATAGCAGTCAGGCAAGCACAGCACAGCAAACCCAATCCTATTCCCTCCTCTAGCTGATCAGGATGAGCCTGTTCATGAGAAACATATAAACACTACGAATACCTCTGGTAGAGCTGAGTGTCTAAGACCAGCCATCCAGTAGCTGGGTCAATGACAGCAGGTCTCCTCAGTTGCTGGCACCAGGACGTATCAGCTCTCAGTGGCCTGCAGTCCCACTCTGGTGGTAGGAATTCAGCCCACCTTGTGTGTACATACACAGGATCTCTCCAGTAATTAGTTTTAGACACTGAGTCTAATTCCCTGCTATTCACATCACCTCTCATACACGGATGAAAAATGTTCTCTGCTAGCTGATCCAGGCTTACCACTAGCTGACTAAGGGGAGCTGGCTTTGATTTGAGGGCTTTTGCAGCTGACTCTCACGCAGGTCTCTGCAGCAATCAGCCCAGCTCTTGGCTCTCGAGTCTCTTATCCTATACAGTCACCAACTACTCTGACTTGACTCTCACTAGTAATTATGCACCAACATACACATCCACACAATATATATGCACTTCATTATTTCCAGCTGCTAGCATTTAGACCCTTCAGAACAGACATTAAGCAGAGTTCCCTAAGAAAATAACGAAAAAAGTTTATTAAGAAGTTGGGCAGTCAGATGAATGTACTGCATACCTGCTGCCAGCCCTTTGTATGCCCCTTTCCTATCTTTCCCATGCTGGAAACATTCCCTAAACATCTCATAAAATATACTGTAGTTTCCAAATGCACTTCCCCTGCATCCCATGCCCCTCAAAAACAGTAAATCCCCTAATATGCAAGATGATCCAGCTAGCAGCTCCCAGTTTTTCTTTATGTCCCAAACACGGGCTTATTATAGTGGAGATTTCTCCAAGGAGTTGGGTTAGGGTACTTCTCTCACCTGTCATTGCTTTTCTCATCTGTGCTCCTTGGTGTTTACGGATGAGAACTTTTAATCACATAAGCTGAAAGACACAGCTAAGTAACTAAGACAACCAGCAGCAACAAACAGTCTAGAATTTGTTTATTCCTTCCTTATCCTACAGGAAACTTCCAGATGTTTACCGTATGAATTTGAAAGCAATCATTAAATATTTCCCCAAAACTGGCAGGAGAACAAGAGTAGGTTTCATGCCTTTGAAGTGTAGAAGTATTAATGCTTACCACAATGAGTTTCACCTGCAGTGACAGAAACATCACCATTCTAAACCATAAGCACCAAGCACAAGCACTTTCTGTCTGAATATCAATACTGAAGGCAAAGCCCAGACTAGTGCAAATGAACTGTAATACCTCACCTACCAGTGAGGCACCAAGCAGACTACCATCTTGCTGTACTGAAATATGGTATTCTATTGCTTTAAATGAGAGGAAGTATAAAACTAAACAACTTGAAACCAATACGTGGAGAGAGAAAGGCTGTGGAGAGACACCATTTTCAGAGTCTGACCATCTCTGGAAAGCTGGGTGGAATAGCAACAATATATTCTGTACTGCCTAAGACATCACCTCTTGTGGGTTGTTAAACAAATACAGCAGAGACATATGAATGGAAAAAAACTCACAATTTTATTGGATGCAAACAGTGGTCGGACAGTGTAGTTATTCAAAAGGTTTGCCCTGTCTTAAGAGTTTCTAGTCTAGGGAGTGAGCTCAGTGCAGTAACACAGTCAGACAGTACACTGCAGTGACACTGTAGCTCCTACTGACAGCTGTGAAAGAACTCTTGCTGGAACACTGAGAGCTCCTAAGTGTGCTGAGTCCTCATCCTCTCACTGAGGCACTTCCTCACTATATGCTTATGACAGCCATTCTTTGGACTGTTTTGTTATTCTTGCCCACCCTGACTGTCCAGAAACCACAATGGGAAGCAATTCATTTTAGAGAGAGAAAAAAATTAAACTGTCCAAATTCAGGAGCAGAGTAGGATACCAAACACTGCCAGTTTAATCTGGCTAGGGAAGAAGAAAAAAAAATTGACAGGGCAGTTAGCCAATAAAATCCATTAGAAGCAGAAAAGCTATAGTAAGTTAGCTTCTTCCAGCAACTAGAATAGAAGCTCCCAGTACACTCTGCTTCCACACTCTTACCCAGAAGTGATGAAGGCATTAGGGGAAGACAACTTGATAATGAGGTGGCATGGGAAAACCTATGACAGAAGCAGTGCTGAGATGGAGGCGGCTTCCACCTTATGATGTGAAATCATTTCTTGGCTTCATGGAGCAGAAGAATGCTCAGCCTTTTCTCAGCAGCTGCCACTGGGTCATTCTTGCTACTTCCACCAGGCAATGGTGGAGATTTGGTCCTTCTTCTTGTCTTGAGGAAACAGATTTTGCACTCACCTCAGTCACAGTCCTCAGCCTGGAATACAGTATGGCCAGGAAGTGGCGGTGGGAGAAAAGGTCCTTTCTTAGTGGGTGCTCATAGTGAAGTCTACAAGTGGCGAATCCTACATGGGTAATAACCAACTGCGCTGGCAGAGTCTTCACTGGTAGCAATCTGCCTTGTCAGGCAGAGGGGTAGGACAATGGTGGGGAAGGAAAGAGTACTGAGTGCAGGGGTCTTGAAGGGTATGTTCACTCCAAGCTCCTCAGCACGCTGTTTTAGCACGAACAGTGTGACATTTCATACATAGTACGTGCCCATCCAGTGGAAAGCAGCCATTTTCATCAGCCTCAATAGATAAGGGCCTCCCACAGTCCTAAATGGAATAATAAGAAGAGGGATAGCTCAATGACAGCCAATGGCCAGGATGACAGAGACAAGGATGTAAGCAGTCCTACTGGATCAGAACAATGGCTCACAGCCCACTACTCTTTCTATGGCTGTGGTAATGGGAGAAACCATTTTGAGGAGGTGACCACAGTCCCTATTCTGAACCCTGTAAGTTCTCCTGGCAGACACAGCTGTTAAATTAGGGCTTTGATAAGGCTACATGTTTGCAAAGTCCTTGTTCATGAACCTGTGATCTATGAATATCTAATCTTTTTCTTGTTCTTCACCAAGAGGGTGGGGTCAGGGACTGAAACAGGCTCCCCACAGGCCATAGCACCCAAGTTGCTGGAATTCAGGAAGCATTTGGACAATGCCCTTAGTCACATGGTTTGAAATTTGGGTGGTCCTTGATGGAACCAGGAGTTGAATTTGGCAATCCTTGTGGGTCCCTTCCAACTTGGGATATTCTATGATTCCAAACCTTGCTCAACATGCTTTCAAATCATTTAAGACACCATTAGTGTTTGATCAATAAAGGAAAGTTCAAAGATGCTTAGTGATGATGCAAATGAGAGGAGCGGGGCCAACAGGGTTACCTCACACTTGTAACATTTCATGTGGAAGTTTTTCTCCAGCGCCACCACACGCACTGTCTCATCTTTCCCAGGCTCTGGCATGATAGGTTCACTACATACTGAGCAGCGTGGAGCATACTTCCTGCAACACACAAATACAGCAGAGATCATGACCACTGCAGGTCTCTCACTATCATACAGAAGTACTGGAAGCAGAGGAACAAATCACACAGAGAGGGAAAAGACCTTAGTTTTAACACAGTGCATTGCTTACTCATTTTTAAACTTCACTGTGAGTAACCCAAGTCCATTCTGCAGCAAAACTAAACAGATTGTGAGGGAATCTGCCTGCTTTAGGATACCACATGCATGTGCTCCCTCCATACCTGTGGTAATCATCCACACAGTGAGGCTGGTTGGCCTGGTCCACTATGAAAGAGGCCCCCTCCAGAGGAGTATGGCACATCACACAGGTGAAGCACTGAGGATGGTATGAGTTACCAGTGGCCTTCAGCATCCGGTCTGTAATGGTCTTTTTGCAGACACTGCACTTTTCCAGAGTTCCCTAAACACAAAAGAAACAAGTAAGACAATATTAATCTAAACTGCCATCCCCAGGAGACTACACCAGACAGGTGAAATGAAGAGGAGGAAGGGAAAACAGGAGAGAACAGCTACAGCAAGCTCAGTCCTCTGCAGCAGCTTTTGTCCCAGTTACTCACAGCATAGCAGTCCTCACAGAAGGGCTTTTCATCCACATTGTAGAACTGCTGCCCCTGCAGCTGCTTCTCACACTTGAAGCAGGTGAAGCATTCCACATGGAAAAGGCAGTCCAGAGCTCTCACAGCTGGCTGGGTCCGTGACAAGGGCTTCCGACAGAAGCCACAGAGCTCTGTCAACAGGAGTAGAAAGGGATTAGGAGATATAAAAACCCTCCAGTCTCAGTCCTGCTGCTGTTCACTAAAAGAACGCACCAGAAGTAGCAGCTTCTACTGGAGGTGGATGGTCCATATCCTTCATTAGTTTCTGAGTCAACAGCTCCAGCTCTTCTACCTCCTTCATGGTCAGAGGAGAGTTTCCCTTAGGTGGATTTGCACTGGGTCTATGCTGCAGAAGAGAAAACAGTAAATCCCAATGGATGCATACACCCAGACTCATTCCCACTCTGTCAGTGGTAAACTCGCTTCTCTCAACTTTACATCTCTTCTCTATCCAAGGGAACAATGTGCCATCCACAATGCTTGCTTTTTTCCACCTTTACAGGAAGTTCTGTCCCTCTCCAGCACTGTTCCTAGCTCTGCTTCTCAATAACATAACAAAAGGTGCCAAGTGAGCAACTACTTCAACTACGTCCCTGAGTCTGGGACAGATCCTCCCTTCTCATCCTCCAACTCAACCCCCCAGTGATGCCATACCTGCCCAGAGACACAACTCTGACCCTTACCATGTCTTTTGCAGCAGCAGATGGTTCAGTGGGAACAGGTTTCTCCTGCACCTGAGGTCTTTCCCACTGCTGAGCATGGGTGAAATTGGGAGGCGGAGGTCGAGAAAAGGGACCTGAGGGTGAAGGGGCAGTGAACTGAGTCTGAAGGGAGGTAGGATATCTTGTAGAGTTTGAAGGAGCCACGGGAACAGTGGCACCTGGTTTGGATCCAGGAGAACTGGCAACAGAGGGTGGTATGAATTTAGCAGTAGGCTGAGACGGGAGAGAAGGGGGTGGAGGGACTGATGCTAGGGGCTCCTTGCGCTGCTGTGGAGCTGCCCATGGAGCTGGGGCAGGAGTTGAATCCAATCCAGGAGGCTTGGAAGATAAGCTACCACTTGGCTTTGGAGTGAACTTGGAAGGAAAAGGAGGAGTAGGATCTCTGGGTGCAGATGAGATTTCCACATGAGCTTTTGGGGCCAATGGTTTCTCCAGAGAACCTGTGGATCCTGGAGGTATCTGTAAAGGGAAGACACAGAGAACCATGCAATTATCAACAAACTACAAGAGAAAAATATACTGTTTACAGGAATAGATCAGTAGGTATCCCAGATCCACAATGATAAGAGTCCCTACATTACTACATAGTTAATAAACTTGAAAAGATACATAATCTGTGCTTTCTGGTTCTTCAGGTAGGTTTCTTGCTATGATTTATCCAGACATTTTAATCTTCAGTAGCATCCTTCTCAGTACCTCAGTTCAGCAAACCAGTAATCTCTTTTTCCATCTGTGACATTCTAGACAGCTCACCCGGGATTTGAAGGGGTCATTCTTCTCCATGTCTTCCAACATTAAGGACAGTGAGTCAATCTCAAGATCAATGCTGTTCATCTTGCCACGCACCTATACCACCATCCATGGAAAAAGGGATCAGAGCACATTACAGGAGCAGCCAGAGAAGTGGGTGTACCCCCTACAACAGCAGATTTTTACACCTGGGGTCTGCTCTTGGTTCTGAGCAGTAGAAAGTTAATGAGGACGAACAGGAAACAGCTTCCAAGGACAAAGTCTCCCAGATCTACCAGAAGTGGTAAAACAAAAAGCCCAGTAAGACTAACAGAAAGATTCAGTTAAGAAAAGACAGCTGGAGGCCTGCAGTCCAATACCCTACTCACTGCAGGGCTGACTCCCAAGCTAGACCAGGTCATTCAGGGCCTTGATCAGGCGATTTCTGAACATCCACAAACATGCAGATTCCCCAGCTTCTGTGGGCATCTGTTCTAGTGCTGAGACATTCTTGGAGGTGAACAGGTTTTTCTTCTGTCCAACAGGAATTTACCTTGCTGCAACTTGTGTGTGCTTTTGTCTCTTGTTCTCTTGCTGTACCCCTGTAAGATGCATCTGTCTTCTCTCCTCCTTTCTGTATTGTAAACATCATTTAGATCCCCACCTTTGACCTTGTTCCTCTTCTGCCAGCTGAACAAATGCAGCCCTCATACCACATGCTCCATCCCCCAGGGACTGCTGTGACACTTTGCTGGACTACTACTAGCTCAGTATTCATCCAGTTTTACTACAACATGGGACCAAACTGCAAAATCCAGTTGGCTGCTCCAAGATGCAGCCTCGATAACACTGAAGACAGAGGAATAATCATTTCACCTATCCTAAAGACTAATACAGCTCAGTATGTGGTTAGCCTTTACTGCCACAAGGGTGCATTGCTGGCTCACATCCAACTCACTGTCCACCAAGATCCCACGGTCCTTCATTTGCAGAGCTGCTTCCTAGCCAGCTGACCATAACTTATGCTGGTGGATGGGGTGGTCCCATCCCTAGTGCAGAACTTTGCATTTATATTTGCTGAACTTCTACAGCATCTTGTAGGAAAGGGCAGTGCAGACACTAAGGTGCTAAGCAAACTGGTACTGTTTTTTTCCAGCTCTCTGAGCTTCCTGCTGTTGAATCCAGAGAGCACTGAGAAGTTGTCCCAGCTCAGAGTATCAAAAGAAATTATACTTCCCTTGACCTTACTCACCTGTGAGGCAGGTCCTTCATCAAACATTGGTGGAGGAGGCGGAGGAGGAGAAGGAAAAGCTTCATCTGGGGCTGGTGGAAAAGGCTCTTCAAAGGGTGGTGGGGGTGGAGGAAAAGCACAGTTTGAGGAAAAGCTTAGATCCTCTCCAGGTGGGGGAGGAGGTGGCAGCGGCAGCTCTATGGAGAACAACAAAAACAAGAGCAGGCCTCAATCATTTCTCACTCCTAGTTACAAACCCCACAAGGCACCTTGAAGGTATTACAGCAAGTGCTCCTCAGTATCCATCAAGGACAACTGAACCCCACAGGACTGCCTTCACCTTGTGCAAACTACTTGTCATCATATAAGCTACTGCATTAGTCACTAGAAATTCACTGGGTAACTGAGAAACATGTCCTAATGGTTTTTCTTACACCTCCTCTTTCTCTGTGCCCTTGCATGTAGAAAAGGCAAAAGATGTCTATTACAACACAGGTCAAACAAGATACTCTTTCCCTTCACCCTTTAATGTGAGAAAGGTATCTCATCATCCAAGCACAAAAAACAATAAAGATGAGCAGGTATAAATTCTTTTTCTAGTTATACTAAACATCCCCTCCTCTTTCCAGTTAATCGCAACCAGCAGCAGGGTTAAAGATCAAGTTTCTTACTCCTGCTGCTCCACGTATTGCTTCCTCAGCAGTTATCAAATTGTCTAATCTTTATACGTAGCTGTTTTCCACAGGCTTTATTAGGATTTCTCATCTGTAACTTAAAGGAGACGAACTGAACGTTTTTAAAAAATGAAAGCTGAAATCTTATTAGGCAGTGGAATGCATAAACTGCACTGGTATGCAGTACTTCTTCCACGTCTTCTTGTTCTGCTTTTGGGGAGTAAAAAAAGTAATACAAAGCCAGTATTTTTTCTTTGAAATTACAGTTTGGGAGTAAGCTCAAGTTTGCATGAGCTTTTTTTTTTGGCTTATTTAAAAGAAAAGGCAGAAGCAAAACCCTGCTCTGCTGTCACAGTGCTTCAAAAAGATGCACTAAGAGCCTGCTTTAGGAATTATTTGCACAAAGAAGTTTCTTGCATGACCAATATTAAATATAACATTACAACAGTGATATCAACTTAGTCATCCTGCCATTTAAAACAAAGAGACCAACTGCTATGGGTTTCTGTTATACTATCGTTCCTCGAGGGAGTGTACAGAAAAGGGAGAGAATGATCAAAGAGATGTATCAGGGAAGAATCAAATCAGATGCATACCTCTCTTGACTGAGTCAAAACTGAGTTTCAGGCATTCATCTGCCTTGCTAGTACAGCTTTGCTAGCAGCCCTTAGCCACTGGTGACATGACAGCTTAAGCCAAACACTTCTGCTAATCTACATCAAGCCTCCAAAAGAAGCCTTTCTCCAAAAGAAAGCTGTTCCTCCAAAAGAAGCTTTACAGGGAAAGTAGTATGCAAGTGGAACAACTAACACCCAATTCTCTCGTTACTATATTCTGAAAAACAATTTTTAACATCTGTTTGTTTGCTTTTGTAGTTGAGCTAATATATTTCCGTCAGTTTGATGCAACCTTACACACACACTCCTAATCCACACAACGTTAGCAGAAAAGCATAAAAACTATGATAAGACCTTGGATGACAGACTCAAGATTCCAGCCAACAATGTATAAGCAAAAGGTCACCAGTTAGGTGGTGCAATTCTGCAAGACAGAGGCACCGACACCCTGGGGCCATTGTGACTCATGAAATGGAAAAAATGGTTTAGTCATTTGCCCCTGAGTGCAGGATCAGCCTTACTACCATTAGATCAGCTGCCCACTGAGTTAGTACAGGACACACCAGCATTACACAGGAACCTTCTACTCCTTAGAAGAAAAGCAACCAACCACCAAAACCAACAAAAACAAATAACACCCATAGGAGAAAAAGAAAAAAAAAGAAAGCCACACACTAAAGCAAGAAGTCAGTTTACGCAGGAAAACACACTCAACCCAAACCACTAGTAGAAAGTATATAACTCATTTATACAAGTCTCATTTCCTGTTTTTGTTAGCTTCCTTTTCTTTTCATGCAATTATTTCTACTTCCTTTGAAACTGCAATGTTTGTTGCTAAAGATGAGTCCACAAGAAGGGTCTCTATAATTGGAGACAACCAACTCAAGTTAAGATGAATTGGTAAGAAAAAGAACAGTGTGATGCATCACCATCAGAGTGAATGTTCCTGCATCATACTTGCTCTTAGACTTGCTGGCCAGAATACTACTGCAGTTACTCAATTATACACACAGGGAATATCATGAAAAAACACTCAATTCCTCCAGCTTTACTAAAATCTAAGTGCAATGCAGGATTGCTTTCCTAACTGAGATGCCACATATTTTAAGATCACTTTACAATCCTTTTATCTTACTCAGAAACTTGCAAGCATCTACAGCAACAGCATATTTCATTTACAGTGATTCACATATTTAACCCAGTTACAGACCTCGTACTCTAAGAATTGAGAAGCATATCCACATCTGCCATGCACCCCTCTTCACCTACCTTCTGCCGTCACAGACATGGGGATCTCCCCCACTCTCCCCATCTGGGCACGCTGGGCACCAGCTCCAGGAGGCTGTGGCAGTGATGATTCCGATGCACCCCCAGTCTTGAAGGGATTCACCTTGGGTTTAGGAGCAACCACAGGTGCAAACTTCTTCTGTGGGTTGTAAAAGGACGGTGTGGAAATGTTGATGCTGACTGTGGTCGTCATACGGGTCCCTGGGGTACCTGGAGAAGCCATCTTTTTGGCTGCTGGCAGGAGAGAAGAGAGAGGAAAGTGATATCAAGTCAGACTTGGGCCAGAGTGGGAATTAATAGAAAGGAATATACAATGGAAAGACTCAGGAGCTTGTGTCTGGGCAAAGGCCAAGGAGCCAAAGCAGAGCGTAGAACACTTTGAGAATCAGCACAGGAAGAAAGAGGAAATGGCGACTAAAGGCAGCTTGAATAAGCCTTAGCTCAGCTCAGCACAGTGCTGACCACGAAGGGGTTTCTTGTCAGCCATGTGCTGCCACAGAGAAAACTAAGCTCCCTGCTGCTCGAGACCCCTCCACACACAATGCAGGAAGGAGCTGACGACCAGTGCAAGCATCTTCACCCAGCACAGCAACCCCCACACTCCCTCTTCCATGACTGGAATCATTTCCTCTGCCCCACTTACCCGATAACGTCATCTGTTTCCTCTTGTCTTCAGGCTGTGACACCCCCAGTAACGCCCCCTCGATCCCCAGCACACCCCTGCATCTCTCATCCCACCCACTTTACCTCCAGACCCTCGTGTGCAGGCAGAGGCAGAAACAACGGGTCAGGTGAGGGGTTCTTGGTGTCACATTCCCCGGCAGGGCCCTCTGCTTCCTCCCTCTTCCTGTCACTGCCGGTGAAGGAGCATCCCCTGACCCTCACTGGCTGCGCCAGCCGCCTGCTCCGCCTCCACCAGGAAGCAGTTCCAAGGGCTCAGAGCAGCATCTCTGGGGCCGTTCGACTCAGCACCTCCAAGGCGGCTCCCTCAGACTTGAGACCAGAGCTCAGGTCACACACACAGCAGCAGGCAGTGCAGCTGCAGCCCTGCCAAGTGCGGGGCCTGGCCTGCCTGCGGGATGCCCAAATAACTCAGCTTTGTTCTGAGAGCAGGGTGAGCACTGCTGCGTGCAGCAGTGAGAGCCCCTCCGTCCTCCCTCCTTTCTGTCACCAAATCTGAATAAGCACAGGCTAGTCCCACCAAGCCAGCTGTTTCAGGAGCCCGAGGGCCACATTTCCAGCATTCCTTCAGCCCTGGAATTCAGGTCAGAAATCTCATCTGTGCTAAAAATCTCCTCAAAGCCAGATGCTTTGTTGCAACGCTGGCACGCCTACAGTTCTAACGCCCCAGCCCAACAGCACTGCTGCCAACCCAGGGCTCTATGCTGTGTTTCAGACCAGCGCCCTTCCACTCTGCCCACAGATAGCTCAGTGATAGCTGCTAGGACAGCCTGGGTGTCACCAACTTCCACTCACCACTAATTCACCCATGGCTGCTGCTGAGAGCTGCGTGCTCAGTTCTACATGCTGCTGTGGTTCAGTCCCATCTGGTAAGACGGACCTTTTAACAGCTTACAAACACACAATAACATAGACAAACAGTAAGTCTATGCTTCTGCACTTTTTTTCCTTTGCACAGGGTTGACAAGTTGCATGCACTTTGACAAACAGCTCTGGGCTCCTCAAAAAACAGTGAGCAGCAGACAAAGAGCTGAGCAGAGCATGCCCCATATGGTTCTACATGGGAAAGGGCCAAGGCAGAAAAGCAATCAGCAAGGTCTGTTGCTGATCCCTCACACTGCTGAGAGCCAGCAAGTTAGAAGGGACAGATTACCCAGTCTACAGCTTCTACAGAGTACTGAATTTGTCAGAGACCTCCAAGCGTTTTTTTAGACACTTTTGCTGATAGAGGCACTTAGACTGTCTTGTGCTCCACTGTTTTGTTACAGTGTAATGAATTTCCTGCTATAGTCCTACCAGAATAGGCTCTTAGGAGCAGAACACCACAGTCAGAAAGTAATTTCTAATGTCTGTTTGTACTGAGGTCAGCCAGCAGCGACGCATCCTCCACTTCATAAAATGTGTTGGCATCACTGTCAGCAGCTGCTATCTCACTGAACCCAAAGCAGCCCATTTCCCAGTATGCAGCGTCACATTTAAGGCCCTTTCTTCTCAGAGCTGTCTATATCCAGCAGCTGCCCCTGCTCATCCTCACTTCTGTTTATCTGTCTGCCCCCACACAGACCAGACGGGCTGAGAAAGGCTGGCCTTGCTTTGCCCCCCTGCTCCACACTGCTGTCAGTACCATCTGAACCCTATCAAGAACGCGAGTCCTGTGGCACTGTTTGTAAAAGCAATTGGAAGAGGGAGTGTCAAACCAGCAGATCTAATCTCAACTCCTCACGTGTCCCTGAGGTGAGAGGTTTTCCGCCTGCTGATAACAGCAGTTAGATGACTCAGGTGGACCTGTGAAGAAAGACATCCCCCAAAGGATGCAGTGAGAATGCTCAGTTGCCTCACACACACTTGCAGAGCAAGGAACTGTAGGACCAAGCAGCATCCCCCTCAGCAGCAAGGTCACCTCCCAGAGGTTCTGTGACAGATCTGCCAGCTGTTAGACATGCACATGGCTCCAAGTTCTTTGGCCTCAAGACAACTTTCAGGAGCCAAGCTCCCTTCCCTGGGCAGCGAAAAAAGAAAGAACACAGAGGGAAAGAGCAGAATGCCATTTGCCACCTCAGCTGGTAGAAAGAAAGCAGTTTGTCTTGGGGCACACAGTAAAAGCTGTTTCAACACTGTGGTCTGACACACTGCATCTGTATTTCCTCTGTTTGCCAACTTCCCTCTAGATGAAGGGGGGAGGGAGCAGAACGAGAGCCATAGCAAAAAAAAAAAAACACAAAAAAAACAACCAAAAAAAAACCTAACATGGACCATAAAGCAAACAAGATGTGGGAGTCATGCTTCTTTTCACCTTCTCATACAGGTTGATTCCAGAAAGTTCTCCCCACCTGCCCCCAAACTGCAAATTTTCACAGAGCAAAGTCCTACCAGCTCCGCAAGCCACAAGACAGAGCCTGCAGAAAAGCAGGATGGGGGAAGGGGAGCTGCGAGCTTTTTCCACATATGTTGGCCTTGCCTCCTCCTCCCTGTGCAGAGGGAAAAAGAACTCCAAGAAGCTATGCAAACATATTTAAAACGTTAGGAAATTCTACGAATTTGCAAGCAGTTCCGCCGTCACTTTCTCAAGGTACTCCCAGAGAGACAGAAGCTCATCTATTAAACAAATTTCATGCACAAAGAGCCTCAGATTCTTCTCTTGAGCACATCTGGAAAAAGACTCCCTAGGTGTCTCGCTCATCCACGCGTGCACAAAAGAGAGCTTGTCCCGACCGAGGCAACACCCCCTCCTCCCTTTCCCCTTGCTCGAGCCGTACAGGAGCTCCAGCCGACTCCATTGCACCAGCAGCGGGGAAAACCCACTGCATCCGCACTCTCAGAGCGGAGGAGCCGCTCTCTGGCAGAAGGGCATCCCCACCCAAACAAGCAAATAGATACATCGTGACCTAAACGAACCCCTCATTCCAGGAGGCGTTTCCACAGGGCAGCCGCCGCCCGGCAGCGCCGAAAGGACCGCGTTCCCCCGAGCGCGGCGCTGCCGACCGAAGCCCCTCACCGTGCCGAGAGACTCACCTCGGGGGGGGGCGAGAAAGGGAACAATCGCCCCGGGGCGAGAGCCGGGGGGGCTGCTGGGCCGGGGCCTGGGGCTGCCTCGGCGCGCCGGCCGGGGAGAGGCAACAGAAATGAAGGGGGGAGCTGCTGAGTCCCGGCGCTTCCGAGCAACTCTCGGAAAAGCCTCGCCCAGGCAAAGTTGTTTGACCATAAAAGGAGAGAGGCTGTGCGAACAGCTGAGCTCACTCGCTGGGGAATGTAGCAATGAGGTAAGGGGGGAAGGAGCGCCCGAGGGGGACGGGCTGGCTCGGGCTGCGGCGGGAGCCCCGGGCTGACATCTGGCGCGCTCCCCGCCCCCAGCCTCACGAATCGGGGCTCTCGGGGGCTTTCCTGTCGGCGATCGCGAGCAAGAAGCGTTTTTCCGGGCTGCCCTACCCCTATCCTGCCGCCCTGCTGGGGCCCGCGGTCCGCGCCGGCTCCATCCCGCCCTCCCCGCGCCCCACTCCGCCCTGCAGCTCCCTGCCTCCCTCCCTCAGCCCCGGAGCTCCCTGTGCCCGGCGCCGGGCTGGAGCCGAGGGAGAAATCCTGCGGCTCTGCTGAGGCGCTGCCCCTGTCTTCCAGAAATTGAAGCACGCATCCCATGATTCTTCAGTGCAGAAGTGGGGTTTGTTCTTCTTGCGTCGCCTGCGAAGCAGATACTAAACTTTTATATCAGAGACCGGCTGCTTGAATTGCCTTGTTGTATGGTCTGTGCTGCACATGGGCTTTGTTTTTTGGCCCAGCAGTGGCCAGGGCTCGGTCCTGCTCGATACCTGGCCCAGTGCAGCAGAGGGTGTAGTTTTCAACTGCAGTCTTTAATTCTCCTTGCTTCTAAGCCTCTTAGGAAAGTGGAGCGTCAATGAAGTGTTCCTTGTGCTTTGTGCCATCATTAAATGTTTTCAAAATTCAGTCTCAATATTGGGGTTAATGCCCCTCCAATTAGAATTACTGTATTTGGTGATGCTCACGAGATCTGGAGCTTTTCTGCTTCTTAGACACCTACAAACAAAGGTACCTTCCAGCACTGGTAATTCACTTGCAGGTGGCTGAGCAAGCCATGAGCCATGCCAATTAGATTCCCAGCGTACATTACTGCAATATACTCCTGTCAGAGAGCTGCACAGAGAGGTTCAACAAGGCTTAAGAAATCCAGTGTAAACAAATTAATTTTATAAGCAGGTTTTGCACAAAGAGGTAATGCATTTTATGATGCAGCTGGAAAAAGAATGGCAATCTAAGGTTTTGCAGTTCAACACAACTGAAAATGCCACCTATACCAATCTATCTGTTCATATGTCTGTCGTAGCATCTTACTGCTTCCATAGCTGCAGCTGTTGAACTGCTGGCCTACAGCTGTTAAATGCTTAAGGATATATAATTCTCATATAAGTGCTAAATATTATTATAATGCCACTTTTCTAGGCATGTCATCAGTCCCATTAACTACTGTAATTAATGCACAAAATAATTGTGTAGTTTAAGGAAGGTTTATCTGTGCTGTGCCAGGTCTTCTAACACTGTCGCTTTTCTAGTGCTGACAGTCCTTTTCCTTTTTGTTCAGGGAAAGATGTCAGTGCAGAAGTAAAAAGTAATGAAGTTCTGGTACACTGCAGTGCACCTCACACAATCAGCATGACCTCAGAGTACTATACTACTGTTCCCACTGCTAGCCCTGACTCCAAAGAAAACAAAGAATGTCTCAGACTGAGATTTAAAAAGTGCTGAGAGAATATGAAAAAATTCTACCCTCTCATCATTTCTGGTTACATCCACATAAATCCAGATGCTTGTACATTTGATTGTCTTACCAATCTGGTGATGTTAAAAACATCAGCTCAAGGAAAATGAAAATAAAAAAAAAGGAGTCCATCTTAGATGTTTTATGTCACTTCTCACAATGGAGAAACAGATATGAAACAGATAATTGTTTAGTTGGTTGGAGATGTGAAAGACAGAGTTCTCAAATCAGAGTACGTCAGAATACTTAAAGAAAAACTTTAATCTGATTTTGTGGATTAAAAAAAAAAATTCTCTTTGTGCTAGTAACCTTTCTTCATGCAGTTCTTTGCTTGGAGGAGCAGACATTTTTCCACTGCAAACTCAAATTAGTACCTTGAGATGCACACAGCAGCAGTCAATCCCCTTACTAGGAGCCGAATATTATTCCTGAATAAGAGTTTGGCTGCCTAGGAAAAGATATAGATCAGCAGGTATACTTGGCTTGTTGTGCCAGAGGACATGGGCTTGACCTTCTTGTGTTTTCTGGAATAAGCAGTAGTCCTCTTCTTGAATCCCTTTGGCTATCCCATGCCATGGAAATAGTGATCTGGTATTTTGGAGTGTGCTGTGGTGTGAAAGCTACTGCTCCACACATGTTGGGTGGAATGACAGCTGACTACAAAGCATATGATGGAGGGATTTAGACTATGCAGTTCTGGCTGGCTCCTACTTTGAGATCTGTGAATGTAAGCAAGGCCCAATGCTGTCTGTCAAGACAAAGCTTAGAAATTCCTGAAGTTGAATGAACACACCTCAGAGAGATTTAAGTTTTCATGGAGACAAACATAAAGAATCCTTATGGGCAATCAAGTTGCAAAATACAATGAGTAAGTAAAGATAAATGCAATACAGAAGTGATGTGACAAATTCATGTACTGCACAGAAATTAGGAGTATGCTGGCAGTGATTAGGTGGCTGTAAAATAAAAACAAAATTAAGATAAGAAAACATAAGTTCTTGAATGCAAAAAGGATTCTTTCCAAGATCGCCAATAGGGAATTAAACCTTTAGGGAAGAAAATCTTACCTAAATTCAAGAGGGTTCCAGGTAACTGCAGATTTCAGAATTAACAGCAGGCTAAATATCAGAGGAAAGCTATTTGGATGCTGGACAAAATGCATTAACTATGTTAATAATGTAAAATATCTCAATCTGTGTAATTTTCATCTATACTAACAGATCTAGTAGTGCCGTTTTATCTTGGCATGAATTAGTCAGCCATTATAAGTGCTCCTTAAAAGTCCATGTTTTTGTAACCAGAAGTCCTGACTCATACCTGTCTTGCATCTCTGTTACTTCTTTAATCATGTAGCTTCTGTTTAGTCTAATTACTTTTTTTTTTTTTAATTTATTCTAAGGTGCTACTCATCAGCTTAACTTGTATACACTTTCTTATTTAAATGCTGTCTGTGGGAATAGAAAAATTGAGAATAAATAATGGGTCCAATTTTGTCCCCAGGCCAAGAAGTTCAGACGATGTTAGGTCCACACTGTCTAGGGCAGGGCCACCTGCAGCAGGCTGGCTCCTTGCATGGTGCATGAAATGCATCTTGGTAAGAGCTCTTGGGGGATCCACTGTGCTCTCACAGCATAGGCTCTTAGCATGCTCCTGACTCACTCCCTCCTGTGCAGTGCATGACAGTTCTCCATGTAAATGCTTAGATCTGACGAAGGCTGACATCTGCCGTGGCGTTGGATCAGGTAAACTACTACAACCATATAGATATCACTGTCTTGCTGAAGCAGGCTGCCTCAATTCTGCAGGAAGGGGAGGGGCAGTTGCCAGGCCTCACTTTCCTGATCGAAAAGTAGTTTCAAGTTGGAGTGCCTCATTCTTCTGGGATGCATGTTGGCAGCTGGGTGCCAAAGTGTTAAATACAGAGATCTTTATAAGCCTAATCATCCTCCTGCATCTGTGAAACTGGCATGCAGTCAGGAATTTGCAAAGTTATTTGCAAAGGTCATGAATTCTTTTGGAGAAGTCCCTAAACAACAAACTGCCCAGGAAAGATAGATAGTGCATCTCTGATTTTTCCCTTTAAAACCAAGTCTGCTATGCAAAGCAGACTGTCTGTCTTCTTTGAAGGGGCTCATTCAACAGCTATGGAGAACTTCAGTGATCTCTGACAAGTGTAATTGACACTGCCCCCATAAGATCCTCATAGAAAACATTTTGATATTTGGGATGGATGAGCAGACAGTGAAATGGATTTGAAAACTGGCTGAATGGCTGGGTGTAGGGGGCAGTGGTCAGAGGCACAAAGTCTAGTTGGATACCAGTAATTTTCAGAGTACCACAGGGGTCAGTACAGGATCTAGTCCTATTGAACATCTTCATTAATTTGGATGATCATCATGCACCTGCAGTAAAGTCACATGAAATTGAGGGGAGTGGCTGGTTTCACCAGAACACCACACTGCTGTCCAGAAGGACCTTAACAGGCTGGAGAAATGGGTTGACAAGAATCTCATGAAATTCAACAAGAAGTGCTGAGTCCTGCACCTGTGGAGAAACAACGCATAGCACCAGTACTTTCTGGAGGCCACCCTTTTGCAGAAAAAGACCTGGGAGGGAGTCTGGATAGAAACCAAGTGAACATAAGCCAATAGTGTGCCTTCCTGCTAAAAAGGCTAATAGTACTTGGCTGCATTAAACAAAATATTACCAGTGGGTCAAGGAGGCGAGCTGTCCCCTGTACTCGGTGATGGTTAGACTGCATCTGGAGTGCTGAATATATTTTTGGGCTCCTCAGGATAAGACAAATATGGATTGACTAGAAACAGTCCAGTGTAGGCCACCAAGATGATTAAGGGCCTGGAGCATCTCTCCTGTGAGGAGAGGCTGAGACCTGGAGCCTGGAAAAGAGGAGGACTGGGGGATCCTACCAACATATATAAATTCCTGAAGGGAGGGTGCCCACAGGACACAGCCAGGCTCTTTTCAGTGGTGCCCTGTAGCAAGGCATGAGGCAGTGTGCACATACTGGGACACAGGAGATTCTCTCTGAATGCCAGGAAGCACTTCTGTGCTGTGCAGATGATGGAACACTGGCACAGGTTGCCCAGAGAGGCTGTGGGGTCTCCTCCTTGGAGATCTCCAGAAGGCATCTGAACATGGACCTGGGCACCCTGCTGTGGGTGTTCCTGCTGGAGCAGGGCTTGGGCCAGATGGACCCAGGGGGCCCTGCCAGCTTCAGCCATGCTGTGATTATTTTTACATCTTCAAGTTAATTTATAAAAATATTGCATTATACACACGTATGTACATACTTCAAAAAGCCATTCTAATCACA